AATGGTATGCAGCTTGTCTGGATTGGCCACTTCGATTTTCAACCATTCCCTTGTTAGCTGTTTGATTTCGATATAAAGTTATAATTTGAATTTTTTTTAGATTTTATAATATTTTCAAAATCGCTGGTAAACAAAATCCTCTCGTAAGTCTTACATGCGTTCAGTTCTGAAAATTTCGTGGCCAATGAGTGTGCAATACTAAACTGAGCATCAGGATTAAAAAATTTGGCAACTACTGTTACAGATGGTTGTCACCTGCAAAGGACCTGATGCTGGTTACCGCTCGACAAGTGCTTGTGTACTTTCGGCTGCTCTCGCAGTTCTTCAGGACTCGCACAATCTCCCTCAGAGGTACTTTCCGAAGCAAATTGGTAGATAATGAGAGTTCTCCTTACAGCGGCGGAGTCTACACAACTGCTTCTGCTTTTGCCAAGACCAACATCTACTCCTATCTCGAATCATTTGACATTAAGTTCCAAGTCGAGTCTCCTCAGACGCAGATCTAAAGTGCAATTCTTGTATGCTTTCGTTGAATTTGTTATTTTTGTCTACTCAAGAGATAAACATCTGCCATTATGATTTTACAAACTTCGACTACTGCCAATGATTTTAAGAGCCACAGTGGCTAGAAAAAGATCTCAAACAATTCACCGGAAGCCTCCGAGGGCTGTAGGGGAACTTTCCGCAGAACGAAAGTTAAGAACGTTAGGACGCAGTTGAGAAAGTTAAGACACAAGTTAAGGAGAAATCTTTTTTTAGCATGTTTTTAAAAACAAATTACAGCAGTGCCTGGATGTGGATGGAGTGTCATACTGATGCATGAAGTAGGCATGTACTTGCGGTAGAAGGATGCAAGCAGGCGGTGAGAATGGTAAGTTATGATTAGACATGGCATCAAAAAAGAGTAATGAGATGAACGCATAGGACTGCAAGATCAAATCTTCCTCATGTGCAGCGCTTGTCTCCTTCATACCGATTTCGTCATGCGTACTTTATCTTCTCTACCGAAGCCGACTTGCAAAACTGTTTTGTATTTCTGGAAAAAATGCATAAATGCGTAAAATAAAATAAACTAAATATATACCTTTGGTGGCACAAGTTTTTGTGTAGGAATGATAACAGCGGACGTCTTCGCTGCAAAACTGGATTTAGAGAGTTTACTACTTTTTTCGCTCAATATGAAGGACTACTACTTCTTTGCCACACCACAAATCTTACTTCAAATAAACTCCAGACCAAGGAACGAAGAACAAGCTAAAATCACGTTCTTTTCATTTTTCGCTCTCAATATCTCAAGTTAGTGTAGATTAATCAGGCTCAAATCACTTAAGTGTATTACTTGGCTTAGGCTTATTGAATA